ACAAGGTAGCAGGAATAAAAATGAAAATAAATTTATATGATCATAAATAAATAACATACCAACTTGTTTCCTTATTTTTATGCTTTCCAATTTTACTAGTCTTTATAATACTATTATCTACCTTTTTACCTTAATTTGTAGCCTGTTATCTATGTCTATAAGTAGTAAAGAATCTAAAATACAGAAAACCAATATAAATTAGGGACAGAGGAAAGGAGAAAAGACAAAGAAGAATATAATGAAAAGACATGAAAGCTGGGCATGGTGGCGGCGCCCGCAGTCCCAGCTACTTGGGAGGCTGAGGCAGGAGAGTCGCTTGAGCCCAGGAGTTTGAGGTTGCTGTGAGCTATGACTCCACAGCACCCTACCCAGGGCAACAGAGTGAGACTCTGTCTCAAAAAAATACGTAAATGAACAAATAAATAAAAATATTTGTTTATTTATAAAAAATAGCTCATGCTCTGGTAAAAATTAACTTGAGGAGATAAATAAAACCAGTTCATGCTCATGGCTAAAAACTTAATACAGCACTACACAAAATAAAATGTAAATGCTTTCCACTGTTCCCTGTTGCCAGCAATCATTTGTTTTTAAGTTTTCATGATCACTTTGTGCTATTTTCCAGTTCTCAGCATTCAAAGCAGTATCCAGGACATGGTGAATGCTTTAAAAATACAGGTCACAGTGGATGACTTGTTTCTTTCCAGTTCACAGATACCAGTTCAACCACACAGGGCAGGAGGGAGAATGAAAAGAGAGCGGAGAGAGCAGCAGAGGGACACAGAGGAGAGGGACGCGTCCACCTGCAGCAGAGGGACACAGTGGAGAGGGACGCGTCCACCTGCAGCAGAGGGACACAGTGGAGAGGGACGCAGAGGAGAGGGACACGTCCACCTGCAGCAGAGGGACACAGTGGAGAGGGACGCAGAGGAAAGGGACACGTCCACCTGCAGCAGAGGGACACAGTGGAGAGGGACGCAGAGGAGAGGGACGCGTCCACCTGCAGCAGAGGGACGCAGTGGAGAGGGACACAGTGGAGAGGGACATGTCCACCTGCAGCAGAGGGACACAGTGGAGAGGGACGCAGAGGAGAGGGACGTGTCCACCTGCAGCAGAGGGACGCAGTGGAGAGGGACACAGTGGAGAGGGACATGTCCACCTGCAGCAGAGGGACGCCACCGGCAGGTCCCTGGGAAGGGGCTTCAGGCAGAC